GAATCGTTTAAAGGAGGAAATTGCTTATTCTGGTGCACAGTCTCAGAGGGTCATCCCACACTTGTTTGGTCGCATGAGCTTTGGCAGATTATCATGGAAGTGGGGACACGTGACAAAGAAAGTAGAGAAAGGGGAAGAAGGGACAAGAACAAGATACTCTCAAGGATTTCCTGCCATGTGAACATCTTCCAGCTAAGTCCCAATGTGAATGTCTCCAAAGCCTTTTCAGCTAGTGTTACTAGCTCGAGGTAACCAAGTATTTAAAACTGGAATGCATGTGGGACATTTCTTCTTCAGACCAAAACTATTGTTTGGGAATGTGACCTCATCTTGAAATAGGATCTTTATGGAAGGAATCGTATTAAAATGAAACCATCAGGGTTAGGCCTAAAATTAACAAGGTGGGCCTCAATCAATGTGGCTGATGTTCTGATAAAAAGGGGCACAGAGAAGGTCGCATGCAAGGAGGAAGGAGATGTTGGGAGGACAAATGGAGAGCTGAGGACACAAGGCCAGGAATGCAGGTAACCCTCTCTCGCAACAGTCAGAAGGGGGGGACCTCCTGAACCAACTGTGGGAAAATACATTTCTGTTGCCTAACCCATGTGATACTTTATAACTAGCCCCTGACTGGTACTCATCTCTAACAAAAGCAGTTCACTACTTTCAAAATTTGTTTCCAATTCATGGCCTGACTTTGTCTCAAGACTATACATTCCTAAGTATCGTAGGTAGGCACATTTATGCCCCAATTTATCCTTTAAATTGGGAAACCTTTCTGAGCCCCAGACTCCTCATATGTAATGTGGGCAGAGTGTTATTGCTATGCCTATCACGGTAAAACACGAATGAGGGGCATATATCTGTGTGTCTGAGTATGCTTGTTTATGTAAGTATGTACATACACATGTGAGTAGGTGCATATAATATCATCTACACGAATATCAATCCTACCCACGTCTGAGGCATCCTTGTGTTGTTCGCCACAGTGTTCCTTTTGCTTGAGTATAACAGAAGGACTGCAGAAAAGCTCTCAGAGACTCTCAAGACTCCCAAGTCCACAATGCCCCACGTCTAAGAGATCCTTGCAACCTCAGGTCTGATTTTCGGTTACCTGGTTTGAGTGACCACCATGAAGCAAGTGATAATGGGCCACTGTGGGTGAAGAGTCAGGGAGGTGGGCTGAGGACTTCCTATCAACAGAGGTCTTAAACTTAACTCCTTACCCAGCCTACTTATTTTTACACATTAGGAGACACGAAGCACCAAGCAGTGGAAACTGACATTTTAGGGAGCAGATGCTGCAGAAACGCATAGGGAACAAAGAAGACCATTAACAACACATCAAACTACCTGAGTAAAATTGGTGTTTAGTGAACGAGATTTTAAGAATATGTAAAGTTAGGTATAGCATGTGACGGTTTACTAACGTATTTTTGATGCTATTTTGTCTATTTAGGAAATGATTTTGTTAAGAATTTGAAAGACTGCTACATTTCTAATGATCAATGTTTCATCAAATGACAAAACACAACTATTTCACCACTATTTCTATTGGTAAATGCATACTCCAGTTTGTGCATTTTATCCCTTCCAAATTGTACTCAAAATAACTACAATTTTCAGAGACTCTGCCCTTTTCAGTTCTCTAGAATGCCTCCAGATGGCATTAAAACTCTTCTCCCATTATATTCTACAGCATAACTTAAACTTACAGCAACATTTTAAGCACTTAGAACGGTCATATCTAGTATTTCATGAGAAAATACAATGAAACTCATTAGAACTTTCAGAGTAGTATCGTGAGAGACACAACCTATAGTCACATCAACTACTGAACATCCAGCCACCCTGTGCAAGCCAGAGGAGCTCTACAGATGAAAAGAGATCTGGACAAAAGATAAGACAAATCTGCGCCACAGACTGTGGCTGCTAATAGGGAGAGCAATGATCCAGGAACAGACACAACCACAAAGTCATTTCTATAATAAACATCTTTCATTCCCCAAAGGTGATCAAAATAAATGTTTTCAAGGAGGAAGACCTTATGGATGCTTATGAGGCTGAAATGGCCGTTCGTTAGCTTGTGCTTCATGGCCATTATGTACTGCACTGGTGTATCAGATAAGAGGAATGATAGCGCTGCTGTATGACATCGGCCACCCACTGGTCTGGAGCTCAGGGAGGCAAGACTGACTAGCTGTTGAGCTCCACGCATCTGTCCGTGACCGCTCCCCCAGCGCTGAGATTCAAAGCGCATACCGCATGGCTCAGCACTTTACCAACTGAGCTGCTTCCCGAGCTCCGGGGATCTCAACGCGGTATCATATTCACCATTAAAAACACACGTATATTCTTTCAGTACTGAGAAGGGAAAGATGAAAATGCAAAAACGAGATACCTTCTAAATGTCTTTTCTCATGTTTAAGAAATACTTTACTTGAAAACATGAATGAGCTCTTGAGATCTCAGAGATATCTATAGTTGTGTTTGCCACATATTTCGGAGGTGGGACTGCAGATGGCAGGCTTTTAAAATGACTTGGGTACTTCATGGGCACGTGGGACAGAATGTCTTCCAGTATGTGTAGAAAGTTCAGCAAACCTTATGTCAGTGTTAAAAGTTTCCAGCCAAATTTTAAAGGGCTTATCTCCATCCTCCCTTAGTACACACTCTAGTCTAATTATATTCCCACTTTATAAAGAAGAACATTTGCATTTGCAAGATCTCCTTTTCAATGCTAAGGCATAAAACCTCAAAGTGTGTTTGTACCCGAAAGCATTTAAAAAGACATTATCATGAAAAAAGAGAACCATGGGCCTCCTTCCACTATGATTACCACCATTACAAGATACTTGCCCTGTTTCATTTTATACGGCATATTAAAAAACAGTCATCTCAGAGAGAAACGTGAAAGACACTTACGATGTATTCGATGTGCCATTGTCTGGACTCTCCGGCTCCGCATCAGCTTTCTCTTAAAAAGGAAGTGGAGAAAAAACACCAACATCAGTCTCCCAGTCCTTAAGATTTAAGATTAAACATATTTCTATGTTCCTATTAACAAGCTTTCAAAATGGGCAGCAGGAGGCTTTTTAAAACATCTTTTATTGTTTGGGAACCGAATGTGAAAAATAATTTTGCTTTGGCAATAGAACTGCCCAGGCACAGAGCCTTGAGAGGTACCAAGGAGCTATTGCAAACAAGCAGAGACATGGAGTGCAGACCTTGCCAGAAGATGAATATCTTACAGATGGAATCAGTTTCTCTCCACTACACTTTACAGAAAGTTTAAGGAAATAAATTCATTAGCATTGTACATCCAAGGCACTCTGAACTTTGATCCCTTCTGCTAACACAAGCCAAATGGGGTCAGGCTGAATTGGAACTTGGAGAGAATTTCACAGAGCACTGGAGTCATAGCCGTGAAATGTCCAAGAATTTCACCCCATGGAGAACTCTGGCAGCAGATTTTGGGGCTCCCAATAAAAGCCGAATAAGATATAAACCAGAAATCCTTTCTGACCATCTGAGAGGCAAGTAAAAGAGCATCTCCATGGGACGTGGCTATTGTGGATTTAGTTTTAGGAGTCTGGAAGGAGTCCAAATTCTTTTCACAACAGGCATAAGGTAATACTTAATCCTGGGCCAACTGTGGTTTGAAATGTGCACCCTCATTTTATAAGGAGCTCCTCTGGTTTTGTGGCAGCAGAAGGGGAAAAAAAAGCTGTTCATGCTATGGCTACTACGGAGGGCTCTGCAGTGCCAATAGCTGGACAAACCCAGCACAAAGTTTTGAGCGGCAGGAGACAGGCCCAGTGGCAGCAGCTAACCTTCTTGGCTGTTGCTTTCAAATCAGGCCTCTGACAGCTTCCAGGACCCTCTGCTTCTGCTCAGCCCCTTCTACCCAAACACTTATCCTATCCAAACACTGGCTTGTGGCATCATTTGGGGAAACGACCTCTTGGATTACACAGCGAACCTCCTAAAGAAAGTGTCCTAACTGAGCTCAAAAGCCCACCCTGTATTTTCCTACGGGAGATGAAGCAATTGTGAGGGGGGCGGGTGGATAGCTGCACACAGCTACCTCAGATATAACTCTGCTGCGTGCCAGAACTTTCACCAAAGACAGTTACGCAGTCCCAAGCACGTCCAAAGGAAAGGGAAAAAAAAAAGCCCAAACACTTATGTTGATACCAAGCAGACTAGTTGGTTCCTGATCCAGGTAAAAGCATGTTGAGATAGAAGCAGACACAACAGCCTGATGCTTGCTCTAACACCCTGAGTTTTCTATTAGTTTGGGTCTTCTGGGCAGAGCAGTGGTAAACTCATTTAGGAGACATGTAAGGTCTGGTCAAGTGGCCTGGAAAACAACCTATTTTAGTACTTTCCAGAATCATTTTCCCAGAAGAACCCCCCATTCCTGTCACAACTCCAAACTACAGCCACAGCACCTGTATCATCCAAGACAAAACTAAACGAGGGTCTAATTCTTCTCACATCCACTGACTCTCCTCCCCCTCCCCCGAGTCTGGAGAAGTGGGTTACATTTCCCGGGGAACACCAAGGCACCATTGTGATGGAGGACTAGACAAGATACACTTCCCAAATTTCACGTCAGAGAACAAGGGATCATTACGAGACGAAGGAAGACCTTGACTGGATGTCTGAGTAAATGTTTTACCTTGACCAAGAATGCTGCCGAGTAGCCCACAGGCTGAGAGGACCCAGGTTGGGTTGCACATGGGAGCTGGGGGCTGGAGGCATCGTGGGCTGTCTTCAGCACGGGGACAAAGCTGCAGCTGATTGTCTCTGCTCTTAGCAGCACTTATGTTGTGGCAACAGGGAAGACAGAATAGGGAGGGCCAAAAGGGACATTTCCAGGAGCAGTCTGATAGCAGCTGCTCTCGGCAACCGTAGTGCTCAAAGAGAGGGACCCTTTCTGGGGAAAAGCAAGGCCAAGATTGAGATGGGGATTACTATTGTTTGTTGTCTTTCAGGAAGAAAATACAAGCAAATTAATCCCCCGACAGCTTTGAAAATTTAGGTGATGCAATTTCTGAAGTTCATTTGAAACGTTCGAGGGCTTGAGCCACTGAGAATCGTCACTACTTCATCAGGCCCCTAAGGAAAGTGACAGAGGTGAGGTAACCAAGTCTCAAGACCAAGATTTGACAAGTGGGTAGCTGCACCCCGCAAAGAAGATATCTGGGAGTCACCTTCAAGTTAGCTCTTGGATGCCACCACTTTGGTCTCTTTGGGAGGGAGTCTGCATTGTTCATTAAAAAACAAGGCAGAAGAAGAAGTACAGGGTGGTCATTTTGCATAAAGAAATAGAATCAGAGAGAAGGGGAAAATGAAGCACAGAAAGGAACATACAGACATATGTGAAAATGTATTATGTACATATGCATAATATATATAAAATATTAGCCTTTTTTTTACATTTTATCCAATGTGTATGTGTGTGTGTGCATGTGTGTGTGCATGTGTGTGTGTGTGTGTGTGTGAGGGTGGGGCATGCCTGCCATGGCAGGTATGTTCGAGGACAATCTGTGGGAGTTGGTTCTTTCCTTCTACCTTTTGGTTTCTATGGTGGATCCCGTAGATTGAGTACAGGTCATCAGGCTTGGTACCAAGCATCTTTATTCACAAAGCCCCCATCCATCCATCCATCCATCCATCCATCCATCCATCCATCCATCCATCCGTACTCCTCCTTCCCTTCCTTCCTATCCACCCATTCTCCCTTCCTTCCCTCTATCCATCATTCCAGCTATCCACCATTTGTGTGTGTGTATGATACATGTTTTCAGTTTTGCAGAGTCTTCTGATGCCCACCACTAAAACGGAAAGTAGAACTTTGGGCTGAGGGTAGCTTAGAATTTTTATGTTACAGTCGCCATTTCACGGTACAGGCATGAAACAGCGCACTCAATAGACCGCTCAATGACAGTAGCTTCCTCTCTAACTGATTACGCATACTGAGGGCTCTTGTGTGCCTGGTATTCTGCCTGGCGGAGGTAAAGATAAAAACCCAAATCTAATTCAGATTGTTTTAGAGACACCAAGCGCTCTGCTAGTGTCACAGCGGCCATCTTCCCGACAGGAAAAGAATTTGGACACGTGGAGTCCAGGGCTCTTTGTGTTCTGTTGTTATGGTCTGATATCTTGCCTTTTCATTTTTGGAAGAGGAAGAACATGAAGTTGGTACGAAGGGAGGAGGGGAAGATCTGGGATGGCTTCGAAGAAGAATGAAAATGATCAAAACGCACTGCAAGAGAATTTAAAAAGTAAAAAGGACAATAAAAGAAAAACTGCCAGATACGTAGTTTCTAAGAAGATTATGAGGAACTACGCCTTGCTTTTAAAATTTTAATTGAAACGTTGTTGAAATTACTGAAATACCAGAAAAGGTCCCCCAGGTAGAATTGTATTCTGCTGAAGTTTTTACAAAAGACCATCTGTCTGTGCTGGACTTTTCTTCACTGTCCATCATGGGAATTCACGCTCACAGCGTGAGAATTCGAGCATGAAAAAAACCCAGCAACTTTACTTGTGTTTTTAATTCTGTTATCCTTCAATTATTACTCCAATAAATACAAATATTTTATAATTTTAGATGTATCTACTTTAGATTTTTATCTGTTCTCATTAATGTAATAAATTTTCCCTCTATAATTTTCACTGGTTCAGCTGTTTCTAATATGCACTTTTAACTTTGTTTTTAATCTTTTACTTCTCACATTAAGAAAGAGAAAGATTTATATGTTCTGAAGAAAGAATAGAGAATAATCTCCTATTTCTTGACTAATCAGCTTCTTTTGAAAATAATTATGTATTTTTATTTAACGTGTATGGATGTTTTGCCTGCTTGCATATCCGTGCACCACAGAAGTGCAATGCCTGTAGAGACCAGAAGAGGGCATTGGATCCATTGGAACTGAGTAAAGACAGTTTCAAACTGCCATGTGGGTGCTGGGAACAGAGCAACCGCTCTTAACAGCTGAGCCATCTCTGTGGGCCCTCGGCTTCTGGTTTTTATACAGTGTAAAGTGAGGAGGCTCGCCCACGTGTCTTTTCCTTCCATCCTTTCTTGTTCAACACAGTCAAATTTTAAAATAGTCTGTTTAATCATAATCATTAATAAGCCATCATAAATATATTAACTTAATGAATTAATCATTCCATTTGCTCATAGGTCAATTAGAGAAATTATAAACCAATAACGAGCACTTTCAGTATAATACAAGTATTAAATAATAAACAACAAGGGAGTAAGAGATGACTCATGCAGAAGGAACCCCTCCTCATCTGTATAATGTAAATGCTCCTGGCACCTGCTGCCAGTGGTTCTCGCTCTGACAGTCCCTCATTCCATGGGTTAGTTTTTCTCAAGTCAAGGCCAGGCCTTTCCTAAGATTTCTAAAGAGTATGCACCTTTAGTGCACATAAAATGCATATGTAATGGATGTGTATAGGCAGTTTTTAAAAATTAAAATGGACTATGAGAAAACCTTCCAGGCTGGAGATAAACATTGGCAAGTAATCCTGTGCCTCCTGAGTGGGCCCAGCGGACTGCATCCTCTTTCCTGCCAGCTACCTAGAAAGAGGATTCCAGTTAAGCCTTCCCTTTCTTTTCCGGATAGCTTTCACCACCCAGGAATACATTCTCAGCCACTGCTGTTTCTACACTTTACATGAAAGGCGTCATGCTGCCAGCTGGTCTTCGGAGACTCACTTCAGACGCTCAAGAACAGCTTTCAGGACACAGCTCTGGGTTGGTTCAGCCTTGCGGCTAGCAGCATCAGCTAGCTACAGAAGTATACTGTGACCCATATGAATGGTGCATTTGCAACACTCATGAACACCTTTCCCTGCAGATACTAGAAGCTCTGGACTGCAGGGCTTTGCTACGTCCCAAACTAGTAAGTCAAAATTTACAATCCTTCAGGGAATATCGCAGTGTGGAATGGAATTTCACTGTGATGCCTGCATGCCTCTGAGAACCAATGAGACTCAGATTTTGTACTGGTTCTTTTGCACCATTTTATAAAACCCAGTTTTGATTCAATGCAGTGACCTATTGTCCCAACACACACGGTGACCTTTTAAGCACCAGAAACACAAACTATAAGCCTAAATAATAAGAGAAAGCATCCCAGTGTTTAGCCTTTTGCTTTTTCTGCTGGTATTTCTGACTGAACTATGTTTTTAACTTCAATGAAATGATATTTGCCAATAGTTTCCTCTGCCATCTTCGCATTTACCGAAGACACAAATAAGGTGCTCCATTACCACCCTCTAAAATCACGGTTTTACTGGTCTTCGAAAAATACCCGAGGTTAATTTTTGTACTTGATGCGAGGTGAGATGTTATCTCATTGTTTCCCATCCCAAGTATTCCAGCACAAGACACCTGCTTATCCACACTGGCCACTGTACTAGCTTCAGCGTGACAATTCCCATGCATTCACGGTCCGTCACTCCACTAGTCTAGCTACCTCTATAGCGTAGCTTTGGTTGTTTTGATGTAGCTGGTAAAGACAAGGTGCAAGCTTCATTCTTTTTCATATCTTTGCCATTCTCATCTTTTGCTCTATCATATAAATTACAGGCCCAGATTGCCTACTTCTATCTATACAAATATTTGAACTTGGATGGCATTGTACTGAATCTACAATGTATAGAGAAGGATAAATTTTTACATTGTACCTTCTAATGTCTGTACCTGATACTAGTCACTTTATTCATTGAGGTCGTCTGTAATATTTCTCAATAGTTTTTTAAACTTTTCACCACTTTCTTATGTAGTTTATCAGATTCATTGCTTAGTAATTATTTCTGTGCCCGTGTCAGGTATTTTTAGCTGTGATTTTTCTTTTATTTTTAAGTCAGGAGAATTGATTGTGAATAGAGCATTGTTAAATCTCCTTATTAATTCTAGTAATTCAGCTGTAGGGTTTTTCAGTGTTCTATCAATATATTGATGATTACATCATTTGGGGAGATGAGTTCTGATGTTTCCATCCTAATGAACACCACATCTTCTTTTTTCTTAGTTTACGGCTATGGCCAAGGATTCTATCCTGAGGTATCGGTCTTGAAATGGTGCCTTTGCCTAAGCTGTCGAGGGTGCACTTAAAGACAAAGGAGAAGAATTCCTAGGAACTTCTTCCTTAAAAACACGGGCAACTGTTTGTGGAAATGAGTTAGTCTTCTATGACCAACTTGCTAAGACATTTTTTCTAAATTACATATATAGAATTTTATCAAATATTTTTTCAATGTCTTGGATTAAATATATTTTTTCTTTTCATAATTACTATGGTAAATTCTATCACTATTTGAACAGAATCTGATTTTAAGTTACCAGAACAAATAGGATTTCTTAGCTCTTATACTTTGAAATGTATTTTATACACTGCTAGATTTAATTAGAAACATCCTCTTGGATACTTATGCATTTGGATCATTAATAAAATCAGTTACAACTTTTCAGTTCTTGTCGAGTGCTGACATCAAGGTTATGGTGGCTTGAGGGAGTGGTGAACTGCTGCCTTTCCTACTGGACTGTCCAAAAGAGGGCGCCAGCTCGAAGTTACTTCATGCTGTGCTTGGTGGAATTCCTGGTAAAAAGCAACCAGCTTTACCACTGTGTAAAATGATTTTACTTTTAAAATGACTAGGCCATTTTTTAGATAAATAGTTATAAGATTGTTTAGGTTATATATGGGACATTTTTATATAAAACATAATTTTTAAAATTAGTCACTAAAACATACTATAATACACTGATTTCACCTAATTTTGGCTTAAATTACCTAGTTTTTAAAATAAAAAGATTTAATACTTATTTATGTATCTGTGTATAGTCTTTAAAATAAAGGTTTAATATTTACTTATATATATTTGTGTTAGCCACACAAGGTCAGAGGAGAGTGTTGAATCTCCTGGATCTTGGATTACATGTGGTTGTGAGTTGGGACCAAACTCTGGTCCTCTGCAAGAGGGACCCACCCTTCAATGTCAAGTCACCTTTCTAGCCCGCGAGATTTCCAATTGATAACTAGGTTCCCTCAGCTAACTGCAGCTATAATTCCACTACCTGTTCATTTCCACAGCTGCTACTGTGAGGTCAGATGGAGGCGTTTGCTTGCTTTCTTATAAACAAAACTTCCATGTCTTGCAGTAAAATACACACGTGGGCTTCTTTCCATCTGTCCCGTCAATATCACTTGGGTACAATGAACCTTTGGGTTAGTTTTCCATCTGGATAATTCTCAGAGGTCACGCCCTTCACTACTGGCCCTGTCTCACCTGCTCTGGGAGTTCTAGACAGGTGTACGGCAGATGGTCCTGCCTCATCCCTGTGCTTCTTAACGTCCCTGTTCTTTGTTCCGCTTCTGGCCTTCTTATGCTGCATTCTTCTGATTCCTTAAGTCCAGTTTTCTAATTCATTAGTCTTTCTCAACAATCTCAAACGTGATATCAAGCCTGCTCAAAGAAATTTAATTTCCATTTTTCATTTATATAAATGTGACTTAGTGTTTCTCCAAATTTTCTCACTCTTTACTGTATTTCTCATTTTTTATTCTACCTCTTCTGCAATTCAACAAATATTCTGAGTTTCAGAATTCAAATACAAGAATTTTGATTTTACTTGGTAAAATCTTGGGTACAGCCTCTTTTTTTTACATAAAGTATTTTTTAAAAAATGTATGTTGCTTATTTTCTTGGGGATGTTATTTGAGGTTTATTTAGTTTTTGACTTGTTTCTTGTATTCCTATCAACTGGATGCTGCTGTCCTGGTTGCCTGTTTACTTTAGCCTCTTTTGACTTTTCTTATCTGTTTATCAGTAAAACAAAGAGGTTTCAATTTTATATGTCATATTTGGGTCTTGAACTAATATTTATTGCTTTTATGAGAGTCTATTAAATTTTTATTTTATTGATCATTCTTAAGGTCATTTAACCAACAATTTATTTTTCACAGCATTCTGTGACGACTTCTGCAGACTGAGCTACACTCACGCCTCTGCTTCTCTTTGCCCAGAATGACACAGATGTCCTCTGTGGTCAGGGCTCCTCTCAGTGCTCACAGGTCTGAACAACAGGCTCGTCAACTCAAGTGAGGTGTTGATTTCTGCATCAGAGCACTGATGGAGCTTTCTAGAACACTTGTGCCTTGTGGGGAGTGAAGGGTTGATCGGCAACAGGAGAGGGTATGTTGGCTAGAATGTCGCAAGAGAAGAGGTGATCTGGGAGTCCAACACCTCCTTTTGCTTCCAAACAAGGCAGGAAATACTTTACTTTGCATGTACAGAATTCTTGGTTAGTCATCTTGCTGACAAAGCTGCCCCCTTTTCCAGCACCGAAGTATACCCACTCCAGATCTAGCATCATCTTAAGAGTCTAGTTTGTTTCTCTTTAGGAGGAGATCTCGTAAACTGCTCATCTCTTAAGCAAATATTACTGGGGTTTTGGTTTTTTGAGCTTTTAAAAAAGAAAATCAAGTGGAAAATTCTATGTGCACTAGCTAGGTTGGGGACTTAGGGTGACAGGGATGGAATGGTCTAGCTGTCCATCATGACAATCCATGCCCGCTGTTCTTCTGGGA